TATGATCTCAATATTTTTGTATTGGTTGAGCCCTGATTTGTAAACCCCCATATATGATCTATTCTCAGAAAGTTCCATGTGCACTTGAAAAAAAAAAACGTGTATTCTGCTGCTTTAGGATGAAATGCTCTGAATATATCTGTTAAGTCCATCTGGTCCAGTGTGTCCTCCAATGCCCTTTTTTCCTAGTTGATCTGCTTAGAAATGATCTGTCCATTGCTATGAGTAGGTTATTAAAGTCCCCTACTATCACTGTATTACTATCAATGAGTTTCTTAAGTTTGTTATTAATAGACTTATATATTTGGCTGCTCCCAAGTTAGGGGCATAAATATTTACAATTGTTAGATCTTCTTGTTGGATAGACCCTTTTATTATGATATAGTGTCTTTCTTCATCTCTTGTTACAGTCTTTGTTTTAAAATCTAGTAATAAAATTTTAAAAAGAATAAGAATATAAGTGAAAAATAATAATAAAATAAAGAATAAAAGTACAAAGGAGGCTAGATACTGTTTGCCCCTAGAGCTGAAGCTTTTCATCACTGTATGATCAGTAAACTTGGTGTGAACTAGTTATTTGTGCTGGTCTTCCAGGGGATGAGTCTGCTGCTCTGATTCTCAGGGGGACTGGTGCTATTGTGAAATGGGCCTCCAGGGCACAGGGAGGCAGTGTTTGGTATAAGTGGCTCTATCCTGGAGGCACGGTTTTGTATAAGCGGCTCTGAAATCCACTAGGTGGTGTTATTTTGCTCCCTCGAGGTTTTTCAGTGCTGATGGGCCAGACGAATATGACAGCTCTCTACCCCTGGAGCTGAAAATTCATACCCCCCAACTCTTCAGTGAGCACTCACAGAAGAGCAATCAATCACTCTTATTTTCCCGGTTTCCTGATCAGGACCCTGTGTTCACCCTGCCTGGGTGAACCTTTTATCTCAGGCACACAACTGAGTTTCAAAACTCCAAATTTTAGGGATTCTTGCAGTTCAGACCTGCCTTGCTCCTCCCAAGGAGGGTCTCACCATGCTACTGCCTTTTGCTGACTAGTCCCAGGAAAGTGGTCGTACAACCATGCAGTGGTTCACAGTTTATGGCAATACAGCGCAGAAAGTCAACACCTAGACTCCCTGTTCTCAGCCAGCTACCACATTCCTATGTCTGGGAATAGTGTAGCACTTAAGCACCACTTGTTCTTTTTGCAACCCAGGGATTCCATCCCACTTTGCCATCTGAGTACCTTTAAGCTGGGCACGTCCCCCACTGTATCAGACTTCTAAAAGTTCCAATTTTGTGCTCCACTGCTTATCATACTTCCCAGTAGCCTCCTTAAGCAGATTCCCTCCCCACCACCATATCTACAGCTATATCACACCAGATTCAAGTCTCCTCACCTCCTACCTTCCAAAATGTGGTCGTTTTTCTACTTGTAGACTTCCAGTGTTTGTTCTCCCAGACCTCTGATTGATTTCTTGGGTGTTCAGAATGATCTGATAACTAGCTGTAATGAGGGACCAAACTTAGGGTCCCCCTACTCCTCCACCATCTCAGTTCCTCCTGTTTTGTTTTGCGTTTTTTTTGTTGTTGTCGTTTTGTTTTGTTTTGAGGCTTTGGGTTTTAACCACATGGTAAACTCATTCATCTGGGTATGTGTTCGGTGGACAATTTTAAAAAATGCATCCCATTGAAATCCTACTGCAAATATCAGGGTGGTTTCAAAAATAATCTGACATCGGAATTATATCCCAATAACCAGTAGATAACATGTCGCATCAGACCCTACTCACAAGCCTGTTTGGAAAACACTGAGAGGATTTTTAAATACACCCATGGGGGTTGACCATATATTAGCTTCCTAACAAATTACCACTAATTGACTTGATTAAAACAATAGAAATTTATTCTTTCATAGTTCTGGAGGCCAACAGTCCAAAATGAAGGTGCCAACAAGTTGGTTCCTTCTGCAGAGTTTGAAGGAGAACTCTATCGCCTGGCTCTCTCCTAGCCTCTGGCAATTGCCATCAATCCTTAACATTCCTTCTCTTCCAGGTGCATCACTCCAATCTCTGATTCCATTCTTCACATCCCCTTTTCTGTGTCTCTGTGTGTTTAAATCTCCCTCTCTTTTTTCTTATTATACCATTCATTGTTTTTAGGGCCCACCCTAAATCCAAGATAATCACAACTCTAGATTCCTAAAGTAATTACATTTGCAAAAACTCTACTCCCTAATAAGGCCACATACACACATACAGGTATGCCCCATTTTTAGAAAGTTCACATTATGCCACTTCATTTTTATGAAAGATCTATGTTGATACCTGTTTTCACTAACTGAAAGAAATTCCAAGAGGATTTTTGCTTTTAAAAAATAAAGGTGAAAAATAAAAATAGAGAGTTCAGCATTTGTTTTGCAGTGAGTCCTATAAAAAGGCAGCACACACCCCAAGCAGAGAAGGTGGCACCACCAAGCTCTTTCCCCCGAGAACTACACTCGGCATCTCAGCATCAAGCCGCCATACCTTTGAAGTTATCTTTGAGCATCTGTACTTTATCTTGATTTATTTTTTACATCTGTTACCAAGATGTGTCCTAAGGTATCAGAAAAGCCTCAGAGAGGTTATTTTTGGTGTCTGGAAATGCTAAAAACATTTTCCTTATAAATTAATGGTAATTGCTTCTCCCTATTATGCAATTTAGGCTTGTAGCATTTTTCATAGGAATGCTCTACTTTCAGATAGAGAAGGAAATCTATACTGGAAATTAGGCCTTGGACATATCTTTTGAAGGGTCACCATTCAACTTACTACAGATCAATCTAAACAACACTTGTCCAAATCAAACTTTTAAGCTTAAGGGGCTTTTGTTATCAGGACTCCAGAGTGATATTTGGGAGAGGCAGGGGACTTTTGCTGGAGTAGGAATATTCAACGTTAGGGGGATGGCAAGTGATTCTGGGTTTGTTATGCCCGAGTTTTTGCGTCTGAGAGACCACCAAGGAGCCAACACTGATGCAATCACATGAGGGTTTATTTAACAAACTTAAGCTTGGGCCCAAGTATACCCGACACAGCGGAGTAGGGACTTGGACCCCGAGCTTAGTTAAGACAGGGGTATTTAGGGGTTCCTGTTACTAAAGCAGGGTGGGGCTTCCTGTTACTAAAGCAGGGCAGAGGTCTCTGGAACCAAAGCAGGGTGGGGGTTCTTAGAACTAAAGTAAAGTAAGAGAAAGTTCAGCCCTTGGGCACAGGGGTCTGAGATGGCTGCCAGAGCTAAGATGGCTGTACTTATGCTAAGGCTAAACCTGAGGTGGGATGGCCTTAATTTTTCTCGGCCTCCACAGGTTGTCCACTAGGAGCAAAGCGCAGCCTTCAGAGAAGAGAGTGAAGAGCTGGTCAGTAGGCCAGGTTCCAGAATTGGACAGGAGGGTACACTGGGGAAGATAAGGGGAAAGATGCTGTAATTTAAGAAATTGTTAGAACTGGAACCAAATTCCAGCAGCTGGGCAGAATCAGCTATTAAGTTATCATAGGGTTCAGAGCAGGAGGACCCTAGATAAAGTGTAGTCAATTCCCAAATTATGTTTTATTCTCATTTCTTCTTCCTTCTTTAGGGGCCAGCTTTTAGTACCTTGTCACATGGTCCTTCTTTTTGCTGCCTGAGAGACATTATGGAGTACTGAGAATTGCCTAAGAGACAGAAGACCTGCCTCAGACTATGAGTAGAACCAACATGGGCCCTAGATAAATTCAGACCATGGTTCTAGTCCCAGCCCCATCACTTACTAGCAGTATAATCTTGGGGAAACTACCCGTTGCTATGAACCTTAAATTCATCATCTGTATATGTGCTGCCAAAGCAAGCACAGATTCATCATCTGTAAAATGCATTTGATGAGCCCTGTCTTTTAAGACCGCTGGAATGTAAAGTATTTTGTACAGTGCCTGGCACTTATCAGGTCTTTAGTGAATAGCAGTTATTTCTAATATTATTTTGTCCCCAGGCCCTACTGCCCTCTTCTCTAGGATTTTTGTGTCCATCCAGGACATCTCAGATAGTATATAGCTCAATAGGAGTCAGAATGTCAAGTTAGGCAAAAATGTTGCTTCACCAAATAAAATTCATTAAATTTTCCCTCTTAGAGGATCTATAATTTGGCTATGAGTTAGTCTTTCTTAGCTGATATAACTTAAAGTGTTCTAAAATTTGAGTCAAAGACCAACTCCTTCCTCCCCTCCTAGCTATTCTTCTATCCAAAACACTGTTTTCACTCATTTCTCTCCCACCAAAACCTAGTTATGCTTAGATTTAGCCAAATTTCACTCAAGATAATTTGGAGTTCTTTCAATGGAGTGGGCTCTGACTCTCTCTGGCTAGGGAAGAGGGCTAACTTAGTGGCTTCTGGATACCACCTCAAGGGAATACCCCCCTATTCTCAAGAAATCATTGCAGATGATGTATATAAAACACCTAGTTCAGGACACTGTGTTAACTGCACTGAGACAAGAGTTCAGGATATTTTCCAAACTTGTTCCAGGTGAAGATTTCTCTAACTTATCCATGATTAAAAAGGAACTACTAAGCAATTTTCTATTCCAGACTTTTCTGTCACTTCTAGAACACATCACCTGACAGTCCGGCCCCTGCTACCACCCACAGCAGGAACTGCAGTTTCCCAAAGCCCTAAATTGCCTCAGCTTTGGGCATTTCTACGTGACTGCCCACATCTGGATAGCCACTTCATCACTCCTTGTCTTTACTTGTTCTTTAGGTATTAGAAGACATCTCACCATTTTCCTGATGATTGCTGCTCCTAGCATTTACCATTTTATGATTAAGGATGCCTTGTTTATCCTAGTATTTCCACTATTAACACGGTGCTTTCCAAGGAGAAAATATCTAATTAATCTTTGGCGAATAAAAGAGTCAGTAAGCAGGGTTTTTTACAATAAGATTTATTAAGATTATGCCTACTTTCTTCAGTAAGCCAAGCAAATCCAGGTAGGTTTCTTTTAATTTTACAGAACAATAAATTGAAGTGGTTAAGGGAATGCAAAAATTAACCACCTTTTACATTTTTTTCATATTTCAAAGGAAATTCCTATTCCAGTATCATGTTATCTTGTTCCAGATCATAAAATAAGAGGGAAGATCCCCCAGTTTGTTTTATAAAATATCAAAATTCATATTCTTAAATCTGATAAACAACAATAGATGTGTGACAAATTCATTTATATACTTCAATTCTAAAACTAATACACCCTATATATTTAAAAAACAGCATTTGAAGAATATCAAGAGGGGAAAAAAATAAATCTCCAAATCATCCATATAGAACAGGAACACAAAGTTCTATACCGTGTTCTCCCTAGCTTGACCCTAACCCTCCTCCACTCAGAGCCAAGACTTCCCTCTTCAAATACAGAATGAATATTTGGGCTCACTCTTCAGTTGGGAGCAGAAGAAGCTGCTGACCAATGCTGTGCAATGAACGTGGTAGCAGTATTATCTACAGAATCCGTTCTGGCCTGGGCCCTCCCTTCCTCATCTCTTAAAGCCTCCTCATACCAGCATGAGAAGGAAATGGGGTCAATCCCTTTGATCTTAGCCAAAAACTCCAGAACTTTCATCTTACTGGTTTCAGCATGAGCCCTGGGACCCCACAGGAATTCATAGCATGGAGGATGGCTGTTAAGCACCTGCCGATACTCCAGGTAATTCTCCTGCACCCAATCTGTGGTGATGAGCTTCCTGGGTTCCCCATAAATGAAATGCTCCCTCCCAGCATATACTCCCATCATATTCAGGAAATCCCAGATGTCTTCCTCAGGGGCACAATTGCCCTCGATGAAGATCACACCCAGGATGATTATCAGGAGACCATTTTTAGGCATGCTCTGGTTGTCGCTAAGCATCTCATCGTGGGTGAGGTCCAGTGAGTTGACAAGGACATAGGAGTGGGTGGTGGGGTCTACTTCCTTCACATCAATGCCAGAGATCACCTCCAAACACTTAGAAGCTTTCTTGAAGATCACAGGGAATTGTTTCTTATATCTTTTGACGACAACCTTCAGCATTTCTGCCTTTGTGATGGGCTCCTTCAATCGATACTTGAGGATCATGAAATGCACCAAATCAGCCACCCCATCATCTAGTGGGTCTCTGGGCAAAGATTCATTGTCTGTTGAGGTCTCCAGAGAACTTGTACCCTCTTCTTCTTGGCTGTTGGAGACTTCCTCTGATGTGTTCCATGATGCAGAGAAGGAGCAGAAGGAGCTCTGAGGACTCTGGGGAGGACTCAGTGTTGCAGCAGGCTCCTCTTCCTCCTCCTTCTCTGGGGAGAGTGGAATCACAGGAGAGGAAGGCGGGGAGGAGGAAGTGGAGGGGTAGGAGAAGTTGAAAGAGCAAGAGGAAACAGAGGAAGTCTCCTCCTTGTCCTCAGCTATGAGAACATCTGCCACTTCTAGGCCTTGTATCTCAATTTGGGTTTGAAAGTCTGGCTCAAATGCGAGGCGTAGACGTTTTGGAGAGTGAGGCATGATGACTCCTGTTGGCAGTAGCAAGAAGTATGAGCCAGACAGTGGGAGATGGGGTACCACAGCCCTATGGGAGGGAGGAAGGTGGTCAGCGGTCTCAGCAGAGAAACACACACTGGGCAGCTCTGACAAAGGCCAACTTACAGGCTCTTTGCGGGGGCGGGGGGAGGTGCTCTAGGGCCTCAGAGAGCTTCTGTCTTCCTGGATGGTTTGTTTCCTAGAAACCTATAGGAGGTTTTCCTAGAAACCTATATGAGAAAGCTCTTCAGGGTACAGCCAGCCAGCTCAGCTCAAGGCTTCCTCCCTCTGCTTTCCTGGGTCTGGCCCCTTCAGAACAAGCCTTCACCTCCCTGAGACCACCAAGATGGGACTGGCGGTATACCATATCTGTTCACTATGCCCCAGGGCATCCCAGAGCTGACAGCAGGGGCAGGGTAGGGCTGGGTATGCCTTCAGTCCTCACTCAGGGTCCCTAGCTTAAACTCTGGCAGAGACTGGGACTCCTCCCTCTGCTGACCTGATGTGTCTCCTCCTCAGAGCAAGACCCTCACCTTCCTGAGAACCCCTGCACAAAAATGAGGAAGAACCATATCTTGCCACCTTTGCTAGATCCTTCCAGTGCTACAAGCAAAGGGAGGGCCCCACCTGTTCTGTGGTGGGGTTCTCCTCAATTCTGTCTTCATGGCACTCATCTTTACTCCGGGAACAGCCCAGGCTACTCCCTGCTGACTATCACCCCTCAGGCCATGACCTCACCTATCTGGGACACTTCCCTTACTTTGGGAAAGTGAGGACATACTATATCCAGGCAACCCTGCTTGGTTGTCCCAGGGCTGAGAAAAGAAGTGAGCCAGTCTTTATGGGGTCTCTTCTTTCTGACATGGGAAGTACCTTTGTTCTTCACCAAAGGTCCTTACCTTGACTCCTGGTAGAGCTTGGCACTCCTCCCTCTTCTGACCTGATGTGGCTTCTTCAACTGACCTGTCTTCACACTCAAACTATGGACCTCATCTCCAAGTCCCTCAAGACAAAAGTGAAGAGACATCACAGCCAGCCACCACTTCCCAGGGTCTCCCAAGGGCTGACAGCAAGGGCTAGGTCCCATATGTCTCAGATTGGTGGGGGGGTGTCCCTCTGTCTTCCCTCAAGGTATTCTTTACTCATGACAGGGCCTGGGCCCACTCCATCTGGTGACCTGAAATCAACCTCTCAGACCAAGGTCTCACTTCCCAGAGACACTTCCACCTACCCCATGCAGGAAGTGATGTACCACATCTGGACATTCCTAGCCAGATCCTCCCAGGGTGGAGAGTGGGGACAGCTTTACGAAGCTGCCCTTGCCCCTTCACTCTTCAGACCTATGTCCTCGTTCCCCTGAAAACCTCCAAGTTTCTGTGAGGTTCCTTCTGTCTGGGTTGGGGGTACCCTCAGTCTTCCTTCAAGGTCCTTACCTTACCTTGACTTGTCACAGATCCTGGGACTCCTCCCTCTGAAGTCACCAGCTCAGACCAAGCCCTTCACCTCCCTGGAATACTCCAAACAAAAGTAAAAAGACACCAAACCCAGGCACTCCTACCTGGGGTCCAATCCAGTATGGAAAATACACCCAATCCTCCCTCAGGATATTTGTCTGTACTTCTGGCAAGGCCTGTCCTACCCTCTGCTGATTTGAAGTCTCCCCCTCCAAACAAGACCTCACCGCTATGAGCCACTCTATCCCCTTGATTCCTGGTAGAGTCTGTAGCAGAAGTGAGAGTCCCTCCCACCTAGCCACCCTGCTCACACTTCCAGGGCTGTGATTCTGTGGCATCCTTCTTTTCGGGGGAGGGGAGGTGGTTTCAGGCTTTACCAAGGGTCCTTAACTTGATTTCTGACAGAGCCCGGGTCTCCTCCCTCTTCTGAACTGATGTGTCACCTCCTCAGACCAAGGTCTTCACCTCTCTAAGACTCTCTCCCAGACAAAAGTAAGGAAATGTCACATCTAGCCAACCTTGCCTGTGGACCCCTGGGGTTGACAGGAGGGGCAGGGCTAGGACCTCCTCTCTCTTGGGGTATTTTCAAGATAGGCCAAGACCACATCTACCTGGGGTGGAAGGTCCTCTCCATCCTCCCTCATGGTCCTCTCCTTGATGCCTGGGCAGGTTCTGGACTGTACCCTCTATTAACCACGGGTTAAAACCCTCAGAAAAAGCCTCACCTCCCTCAGACTCCCAAAGTGGGAATCAGGAAGCACTATATTTGGCAACCCTGCTGTGTGGCCTCCCAGGGTTCACGGCAGGGACAAGTTTCTGCAAGACCTCTGTCTTTAGGATGAGAGGTCCTCTAAATCCTCCCTCAGAGTCCTCCCCTTGACACCTGGCAGGGCTCAGGACTCCTTTGCTGCACTCAGGCTATACCCATCAGTCCAAGGTCTTCACTTCCCTTGGACCCCCAACCAGAAAAAAATGGAGGGGTGGCCACATCCAGTAACTATGTCCCTGGTCCTCCCATGTTGACAGCAAGGGTGGAGAAGCACTGGGTCCCATCTGCTCTGGTGACGGGGGTGTCCTGCGTCCTTAAATTGAACCCTGATGGGGCCTGGGACTCCTCCCTTTACGAAGCTGCCCTTGCCCCTTCACTCTTCAGACCTATGTCCTCGTTCCCCTGAAAACCTCCAAACAAAAGGAAAGAGAAGCCACATCCTGCCACCCCCAGGGCTCACAGCAGGAGCTGAATCCCGTCTGTTCTGCAGTGGGAGGAGATGTCGGTCTTCCCTTAAGGTATTCATACCGCCCCCTCAGAGGAAGGCCTCACTGCCACGAGACAAGCCGCCCCACATCCTGGAGGAACTGAGGGCACACTGCGTCGGCCCACCACGGCCTGAGTCCTCCCGTGGCTGCCAGCGGGGGCAGAGTGGAGCCCTCTGTCTGCAGCAGAAGGTCCCATCATCCGTGCAAAACTATTCATCTTTATTCCTGACAGGGCCTACATCCCCTCCCTTCTGCTGACCTGAGGATGGCCCCTCCCCCATGGGCACCATCTCCTCGAGATGCCAGAGAAGTCAGTCAGGGGGAGAAAGAATTGTCCCTGTGCTCCACAGCCCTGCTCAAGTCTCCTCAGGGCCGACACGAGGAGGGGCTGGCTCCTAACGGGGCCCCCACTGTCCGGACTGGGAGGTCCCTGCACTGTTCCCTCACGGTGCCCACCTTGATGCTTCACGGGAGTGAAGGAATCCTCCCTCTACTAGGAGTCCTCCCTCTACTGACCTGAGCCCGCACTCCTCAGGAAAAGCCTCGTGGCCTCAGGCTCCAAAGATGCACGTCGGGGTACACCACGCCTGGATACACCACACCTGGGCCCTGCGTGGAGCCTTCCGGGCAGACAACAGGGTCAGGGAGGAGGGCTCCCCTCAGTCCTTTCTCAGGGCCCTCGCTTTAACGCCTGCCGGGGCCTGGGACTCCTCCCTTCCGCAACCCGAATCTGCCTCAGTGAGGAAAAGTCTCGCATCTCAGACCCCCAAGATCGACGTCCGGATAAAACACTCACGGGGCCCTGAGCAGAGCATTCTGGGAAGACGCTAGGGGCGGGGCGGGGGCCGCGCCCCCATTCTGTGGTGACAGGCCCCCCACCCTGGGGTGCTCACCTTGTGCGGGCAAGCCAGGGACGCGTCCCTCCGCCGCCCCGAGTCCAGCTCTAACTAGCCTCGCGTCCCTCGGACGCCCAAAATGGAAGTCGAGACAGAACACTCGGAAGCCTGGCCTGCGGCTTCTCAGCGCCAACTGCGAGCGTGGCGGGGCTTGCCCGCGCACCCCCACCCTGCGCCGCCACCTCACCGGCCTCATCTGCAGTGAGCGGAGGCTCCGCTCTCCTTCCGGGGCCTCACCCCGTGCCAGGAAGCGCCTGAGGCGGTCCCGCTGCTGACCGGAGTCGGAGGCGCCTCAGACAAAGTGTCCTGACCCTCGGACGCCTGCACCGCTAAGTCACCACAGGCCATGTCTGACCGCCTCTGGGCTTTCCCCGGGTTGACGGTGGGCGGCTCTCCGCCCCCACCTCTGCGGAGGGACGTCTCCACCTCCTCCCTCAGGGTCCTCACCTCGACGCCTCGCAGAGCCTGGGATTCCGCCCTCTTCGGACGTAACTCCTCACCCCTGACAGAAAGCCCCAGGTGCTCCAGAATCCCAAGACGAAAGTCAGGAAACTCCGCATCCGAGCACCCGTACCCGGGCTTTCCAGGACCGAGGGAACCCGCAGGGCAGAGCTCAGCCCCCACCCTCTGCCAGGGGAAGCTTCCACCTTCTCCCTCAGAGCAAGCCTCAAGCCCCTCACTCTCCTCACACGGTAGTCCAGACACGTCACATACTGGAATTCCGCCCGGGGTCTCCCCGGGATGATTGCAGGGGCAGGGAGGGGCAGAGCTAGAGGCCCTCTACATGCGGTGGGTGGTGCCTTCCCGCCTTCCCGCCAGAGCCTTCACCTCAGTGATTGGCTAGACCTACGACTCCTCCCCCTGGTGATCTGAAGCCCCACCCTTCAGCTCTCAGAGGTCAGGACACCGAACATCCGGGACCCTGCCTGGTTTTCTCAGGGTTGGCAGTAAGGGCAGAGGCAGTGGGGGCCCCTTTATCTGTGGGGGCCTCCCTTCTCTCACCCCTCAAGGTCCTCCTCTAGTGCCGGCAAGGCCTGGGACTCGTCCCTCCCCTGACAGAGTCAGACCCCCTCAGACGAACCTTCACACCCCCCGAGTCACAAGGGGAAAGTTCCTCCAAATCCGACCACCCGGGACTTTCCAGGATTGATGGCACCGGCAGGATAGAGCTCGGCCCCCACCCCACGCCAGGGGAAGCTTCCCCCCTTCCCGCGTTAGGGTCCTCACCTCGAAGTCGGGCAGAGCCTACGATTCCTCTCCGTTCCGACCTAAGTCTGCTCGGCTCAGAGCAAGCCTCAAGTCCCTCACACTCCTCACACGGAAGTCCAGACACGCCACAAACGGGAACTCTGCCCGGGGTCTCCCCGGGATGACTGCAGAGGGCGAGGCGGGCTAGGAGCCCTCTATATGCGGTGGGTGGTGCCTTCCCGCCTT